AGCAGGAACCTGGGGTCACAGCTGAGGGCAGAACTGGGTTTCAAAGCACTTCTTCTGCTGTGTTTTCCCAAAGAAATCCCCAGTGTTTGTTGGGATTCCCCTTGCATGTCTGTTGGGTGCTACTTGGGCTTCAGCTTGACAGATCTCAGATAATGGGTTGATTTGGGCTGCAGAACTCGACAAAAACCCTAGGGAGCTGCTGGATGTGGTGTTAGTGCCTCTGCTAAGGTTGCCATCCCTCCATGCCAGTAGATTCCTTCGGGTTTCCCAAGAGTCCTGGGTGGGATCTGGTACTTGTTATCTCGCTGAGAGAACACCCGCTGCAATCAGGGGGACAGGATTTCACCCTCGCTTTGGAACTGCAGGGGTGGGTGAAGTGGGGGGAGGGTGACAAAGCCAGGCCTCCTTGGACCCCGAGCCTCAAATGGCCAGTGTCCTCAAAGGCCTGCTCTCGCTGGGAATTCTCTGAATGCCATGGGTTTCTGCTGGCTTTCAGCTCTGAGCACAGCAGTGTTTGTGCAGCAGTTTAGATTGCACTAGCTACCAAAATAAAAGCTACCTAGAATTAGCAATGTCAGTGTTTGGGTTAACATGCACAGGCTGGCTCCTGCTCCCGGTGGGGGTGCTGCTCTTGGCACTGGTGGAGTCTGGCCCTTCAGTGACATTGTACTGGCCAGAGAAGAATAACCCTGGTCCGTTCCTGGATTTCTAAATAAAGTTTTAGAAGATTTGGATCTTACTCCCTGGTGCCTGAATGGGGGTAGCAGTCAGGGCTTGGGATGGCTCACTTCTCAAGCCTTGTGGGTGGCTCCCTGGTTCCCTTGTGGTTTGAATGACGAAGGATGACTTTTCTCGCTTCTGAAGGTTGCCTGTTAACAACAGGTTCCTACAAGCTGCTAGAGGTGGGATGAATGATGTGAGTGAGAGAGTTTTCAGGGTCTTTACAGCTGCTGTTGTCCGTGTAGCTTGATAGGGGCCTATCGGGACAGTTCCACCCCAATAACTGTCTGTCTGTCTGTCTGTGGTTAGTGGCTTCTCCAGACCCAGATGATGATATTCCCCCACCTCTGCCTGAACGAACCCCAGAGTCCTTTATTGTGGCTGGTGAAACTGGTAAGTGCAAGTAACAGTGATAATTAAGAAGCTCTAAGGTATTGGTTCTGGGTGTTGTGTGATACTTGGGTCACAGGATCCAACAGAGAGTTGCTTTGGCACCCAGGAAGGGAAGTAATCCCTCCTGTATCTCATTTTTTCCAGAAGAGTCTCCCCCAGTTGCTTCAAACTACCAGCCTCCACCTGAAAATATACATGTGGGAACCTCTTTGGAATGGAGTGGGGTATCTCAGTCAGAAATGTGTGTTGACTCTGTCAGACTGAGACCTAGTAAGGTAACTGAAATTGGGCGTTTGTCTCTTCTCCAGTAATGTGGCTATGCAGCAATCTGTACTGTGTGTCATTTCTCTACAGCAGTTTGGTAGCGTGTGCTTTTCCTGAGCTACTTCTGATTTCAAGAGTCCAGGCTCAGGAAGTGGTCTTAGTCAAAGCTGCTGTATTACAGTAGCAACCAGTGTCATTTAAGAGAAGATGGGAGTCTACCAGTCATGACACTAATGCCTGTAATCTGAAGGGCAGGAGTACATCCTCAAGTTTCAGTAGCAATGGGGATATGATAGAGTGCAGCGATAGGAGAGTCGGTATGCTCAGTGCTTTCTGGTCCATCCTATGGGTGTGAAAGCACTGAACTGGAGTGCTGGACAGATGTAGCTGAGAGAAAGATGCTAAGCACAAAACTGGTCACGAACTGCTGGGGAATTGGCAAGAAAGGAATATCAGGAAATGAGGACAAGGCATTGGGGGACTGGGTTTTTGTACTGCAAGTACAAATGTACTTGCCTGTGCTCTTTAACATGTGCCCGTTCCTGCGGCACCATTTTTTCCCAAAGTTGTCTGCAGGGGTGAGTCTTCACTAGGAAGAAGTGTGCTCCTAACTTGATCTCAAGCCAGGTGGGACTCTGTGAAGAGAAGGCACACATTGCTTTCACATGAATTAGAAGGTCAAGATAAACCCCGGACTCCAGCAGTCTTTACCTGGACCTTCCCTGACTTGTGAGAGGGCTACACTCTGCCTTGTAGGATTTTAGCTTGTGATAGTTGATTTGGGTTAGATAATTCAAGTTGGCATGCACTAGATGAATACTGCTAACCCACCAGTGAAATGCAGCTTGTTTTGGTGTGGAACGGGATAGTCATTCTCCACAAACACTACAGAGGGACAAATAAAGAGGATTTTTTTCACCTGAAACTGGAAGAGAAATTTGGGGAGGTGGAATGAAACTGAGAGTTGAAGTCTCACTGGGCCTCTGCAGTTAATGCCCTAGGAGAGGGTGCTGGGGGCTCTCTATTTATCACACGTGAACACAGCCTTGATCTGACACTTGTCTCTGCATTTACGTGATCCCCATTCACTGCTGCATAATAGTTCCTTCCAAACATGAATGAATTTGTCATTGCAACTCCCGTGTCAGATAGGAAAAAGCTATTAGATGCTGTCTGTATTGTAGGGCTGGGGATGGAGTCAGATTTGCCTAGGATCACCCAGGGAGTTTGCAGAAGAGCCAAGAATTGAACTCCCAGGCCCACCCCAACCCACAAGGGTGCCAGCCTTGAAAAGATCCACTGGATGAATTAGCTGTGTGGTGGGCAGAACCAATCTTCCATTACACTTATAGGGAGGCGTGTGTGGGAGGGGGCTGAGTGCCTGTGGCATCATTTCCTGTGTATCACTAGCTTGCTTGCGATGTGAGAGAGTTGCATTTGACTGTGGGAATTTCAAATATTTTCCTTTTGTTTGTTTCCAGAGTGTGAAGCTCCGGAGTTCCAGATCAGGTACAGGCTTTTTTTGATGTCGTAGACAACTGGTCTGTCCAACTACCTATTTTGCGCTGAACCCAGCAGCGTACTGGAACTGCTTTGTAAGCATCTCTGGGCTTTCTGCGCTGTGCAACAGCTTTGTTGTGCTGGTAACTAGCCAGTTCCCTAACCAAGCAAAGCAGCAGGCTTATGTCTCCTAACCAGCCCCTGAAGCAGCTGGTATCACTTTGCGCTGCTGTTCCTTTCAGTCTCACCAGGCCAAGGAAGTACCCTTCTCGGACTGTGCGGCCCTGGGGATTCTTTACCTTTCTCTTGTGAAGAGGTAGCGCAGCCGGGCAGTCTGAAAGGTAGACCGGGGCTTGGAACCTAGGCTGTGTTTCTGGCTCTGCCCTAGCTTGCTGCTTGACCTTGGCTGCGGCTACGCATCACCTTGTGCTTCCGTTTCCCCATCCCTAAAATAGGGATGACCGACTGACTCCTTTGTGTTGTTCTCTAATGACAAGCATCACACAAAAATATCATCATCGTCATCGTCGTCATCAGCAATAATAATTATTATTATATAGCACAGCACTTGCATGCTGTTTTTGGAAGGACTGGAGATTAATACTTGCTGCGTTGCGTTGCTTTGGTCATCACAAAAGATGTCAGACACTGGTCTGGGGATACTAGCCTTCCAAAAGCTGAAGGGTTTGATTTCTTTTTCTTTTATCGCTGTAGAGACACACCGGGACCACTCTTCTTCTCCTCCTCCACTCCCTGAAAGAACTCCCGAATCGTTTGTTCTTGCCAGCGAGGACAGTAAGTGGCGGTGTTTGTTTGTTTTTTCCACCTGTAATCTTCTGTAAGAGAGGTACAGCATCTCTGCATTAGGTGAGGGCTTAACTGAAGCCAACACAAAGCTCATGTGTCCAAGCAAGCAAAACTGTGTCCAAGCTCCCCTCCCCATTTACCCCAACTGGTGGCAGTCTGAGTAAAGAGTATCCCAGAG